GTACCTAAGGTACAGCCACACCACAGGTGTGTATGCACAATACCTACCTTCGTGTAACCCTGCTACAGATCTTAAGAAAGCAAAACAAACAAATGTGCTTTTTTTTTTTTTTTCGACTTCTCTCTAATTTAAAATGAAAAACTGACATTTAATTTATTATTTTCAAATCATTCTGAACAAAATTACAGTCCAAATTTGTCAATATTATTGTGACATCTTAATGTTTTTTGAACTTATACCACGTCACACATGTAGCCATCTCATATCATTATTAACCATTGTGCCTTACGTAATGTTACACCAAAGATGTGCCTAATAAACAGCCAACGCCATTTATTATAGTCTGCCTAGTGTTATTATTGTCCTTTTATTTGTCGTGCAAAAATGACCGCATCATTGAGATTGTAGTATATGACTTTTAGCGGCTTAAGCTGCCTAATGCTTAAATTGACTAGGAATGAGCTTTAGACGTCTCAGGGGCCAATGCATATGTTTCTACCTGACGCGAATGATACACCTGCATGCCAATTAAAGCAATCATTGGCTCTTGAGCATTGCCAAGCGGTAGGCTTACCTGCTAAATAGATGTGCGAGTGTGTAGATTGACGATGAGTTTCTGTTGTAGATGGCTAAAAAGTCATGTTGACGGCTCTTTGGTGTCATTCACGGCCTTAAGATTGAAAAACGTGCACGCTGATACATGTTAACACGTAAAATAAAGATTATTATGAATCAGCTTGTCTAGGCTTGACAATTCAATTAGCTTTACTCTTTCCATTTGCGGATAATAGACTGACTTGCATTAGCTTGTTGACTCCAGGGACTAAAATTAAAGCGCGGTTGTGTAGGTGCACCAGATCGCTCTTCTCGATTCTGGGTTGGCAGACTATTGCGATAGTCGTCCATGATATACACGTCGTTATCATTGTTAACTAGGCTTACAGAAGTTGGCGCTGGATTGAAAGATTGCCGCTGCCTACTCCAAGGGATGTTATGAAATGAAGGACTTTCCAACCGTTGTTTTTGGCTAGAATTGTTATCTTCGACTTGCTGCTGGCATCCACATTTCTTTGTCAAGGGTACCCGGTTTTCTTTTATCTGTGCAAAATACATATCTGTAACAAATGCAGCATCAATATCAGCCTCTTGGTATATGTCAGCGATTATTGGAGAACTAGCAATGAGACCGGGCCGCTCGTGCTGTGTATGTTTCTGCAAAGTGTTTAGTTGCTGGGACGCAGCATATGTAAATTGCTTGTAGTTTTGTTGCTGAGCTAAATTCTTGCAGCAACAGATAGTCAAGAACAAGTTTTTCTTGAATCATGTACTCTTCCTGTGGGTTTTCGGAAAATTTAGAGAGCAAGACCGATTCCACGCCACCCTCCAGCATATCTGAGCAGTTATCTGTCGACTTGCATACTTCCATGACAAAGACGGCAACCACGGCATCCATCACAGCTACTGTAGAGTGGCACATTAGTCTTGCATGGGCCTGTGCAAGTCTAGTAAGGCTCTCCAGAAGTCGAAGTCGTTGTGCGAGCCGCGCTCCGACTGTCAGATGCCCGCTGTCGTTGGTAATAACTCTGGAGTATTGTCATCGCTTCTCGACTCAGATCGGGCTGATACATATCCTTAACGTAACAAATATACGCCTGCAGCTTCTGTATACTCCACTCTCCGGATATTTCCTTCGACACAGTAAATATGGGCCCTCCCTGTTTCACTGACTTGCCCTTATTATGTTTTACCTCTTCTTTCAGACTAGGATACCTCCCGACGGCTTGCTCGAGAATGTGAGTGGAGACAGCATTGTCCCATTGCGCGTTCATGCGATCCAGCAGCACGAGAATAAGGTCGAATCGACTAAGTAAAGGGCTACCGATACTCGTGTTCACAGACACGTCCGTTGTCGGATCATAGTGGCCCTTTGGATTCGTTACGGCAAAGATAGTTGTACGTGCGTTCAACTTGCAAACTAGACCAGCCTTTGCCACGCTCAATGTCTGCTGCTCCATGGCTTCATGGATCGACAAGCGATCGTTATTGCAAATGCTACTGAACTCGTCAATGCAGCAAACGCCTCGGTCCGCTAACACCAAGGCTCCAGCCTCAAACATCCATTCCCCACCATCTTTAACGGCTGTGCATGTCAGCCCAGCGCTTGTCGTGCCGATGCCTGTTGTGAGAACCGAGCGGAGGCTAAGTTCAGCAGCAAATCGAAGAAATTGGGATTTTCCTGTACCAGGATCGCCGATCAGGAGCATATGTGATTCGCCACGCGTCTTCATGCCTGTATCATCGACGTACGAGACCCCACTAATGACTGTAAGCGCCACCGCAAGTTTTACAATAAACAGCCCGTAAATTGTTGGACATATGCTTGCGACGATCTCGTTGCGTCCTCTAATAGGGTCTTGTCTATGCTTTGCCCAAAATTGCACAAACTCTAGACGCAATTCTTCGGTAACAAGGACTTGTGAGGGCGATGCATTCTTAATGCAAATACTGTAAGCCTTGATCGTCGTCTCCAAGTCGCAGCATACTCCTTTCACACAGGATTTCCACGTACGCATCAGAATACCAACGACAACAACCTGATCTCCAGCCTTTACCGAGTCCACTAGATCGTCCTCCAGCACAACAAATGTCGACCGCGGAATTGAGCCAACGCCTAACTTAGAAGCATGTTCTTGAATTTTGATCACCTGGTGGTCCGACACCACACTGCCATCAGCTCCGCCAAGAGGCTTGAAATTGAGTCGACTTGCAGGGCTTCTTACCGCTACAGCTCGTGTTTCCAATGCTGTCTGAAGGACAAACTTTCTCCAAACAAGCAAAAGCCATACAACAGTAAGTCGTCGCCTCTTTAAGCACAGTAGCGTCTCATCATCTTACTGGAATCTCCATCACGTTGCCTTGCTCCGGGTTGGACTTAACCAAGAACCTGTGTCCACACCGTGCATTGCAGCATTGATACTCTATTTCCATTTCCTGCATCTTAATCTGTACAACAAAGAGTAAGCTAGGACCGTCAAGTGGACGCAGTTCAACATATAACGCACCAATCCTGTCCGCACTACCGTGCCTGCAATCTGAATCAGCTGCTTCACATCATTGGACCTGATTGTGCTAATAGCGGGCTTTCGAAGCGGCGCCACGGGGGGCAAGTTCTCAACTCGCACTTTGAGTTTACGTCTGACCTTGAGCGGGATGGACGGCAGGCTGCCGCCCTCCACAGACTCACCAGTCATGCAACCGACTTCAGCAGCCAGTGCCATGTGGAATGGAGGCAGAAGCTGCTCGGGATGGCGGAATAGTAGCATCTCAAGCTGCGCGTTGAAGTCTAGCAGACGCTGTGCACACACACGCTGACTATATGCCAAAAGTGTCGGTTCTTGTGGAAGATATGAGGCAGTCAAGGGCGTCAAACTAAGGTGCAGACGCCGATACAATTGCTGCAGGTCAGAGCGGTAACAACGACGAAGAAAACGTGCGAATGCTGCTTGATATGCTGGTGCCAAGCATTCAAAGCGGGCGCCCATAACCTCATCTTCGTTAGTTTTTGTTGACATGAGTTCTGTCTGGTTCAGGGAAGCACGTGATGGATGAAAGATGGCTACAATAACTTTACTTTGCTGGGGGTGTGCATTTTACATACACACCTGCCACACCACATGTGGTGTGGCGGTACCTTAGGTAC